TCTTGATGAGCCTTGAAGTGTTGAGTGCCCATGTAAGGTCCTCAGTGATGTGAACACCTCCAGTAGGAATTTGAAGTTGTTCACCATCTACACCACAGTCCCTTTGATGTAGATGGGAGAGTGGACTTTTCCTTATCTCTTGAAGTCAACGATCAGCCCTTTAGGTTTGCTGATGTTGAGACATAGGTTGTTGATTCTGCACCAATCTGCTAGTTGTTTTATCTCCTCCCTGTAGGCAGTCTCATCGTTGTCAGTGATCAGGCCCACGACTGTGGTATCATCAGCATACTTGATGATGGTGTTTGTGCTGAACTTAGCAGTACAATCGTGAGTGAATAGGGAGTATAGTAGTAGGCTGAGCACACAGCCTTGAGGGGCACCGGTGTTAAGGTTGAGCGTGTTGGAGGTAAGATTGCCAATCCTGACAGTCATGGCTCTGCTAGTGAGGAAGTCCAGGATCCAGCTATAGAGGGTGATATCTAGACCCAGAGCCCTGAGCTTGGTAGCAGGTTTTATGGGTCTGATGGTGTTAAATGCTGAACTAAACTCAATGAACAGCATTTTTGTATAGTACTGTATAGTGTATTGGTGTGTAAACCTATAGAGATTGCATCCTCCATGGAGTGTATTTTGCGATAGGCAAACTGGTGAGGATCAAGTGTTTATGGGATGCTGGCCTTAATGTGTGGTATAAGTAGTTTTTCAAAGCACTTCATTATGATGGGGATGAGTGCAATAGGGCGGTAGTCGTTCAGGCATGTAGGTGCAGATTTTCTTGGTACTGGTACGATGGTGTTTGTTTTGAAGCAGCTATTTTACAGTAGGCCAGGCACACATTGAAGATGTCAGTACAGACATCAGCTATCTGACAGGCACTCTCTGAGTATGTTCTGAGTACACCTTTTTATGTGCTTACTCCTTTCAGTGTTTTCCAGACATCTGCTGTAGCTTGGATAGTGTAGGGGGTGGGATGGCAGGGGAGTTCGTGGTCCAGATGGTTGGTTCGGGGTTTTGAGCTTCGAAGCGTGCATTGAAGGTATTAAGCTTGTTTGGAAGGGAGGGGTCATTAGTGGTTACAGGGCTTGTTTTGCTCTTGTAGTTTGTGATTGTATGTACAGTATGTCTTGTCACATGAGTCATGGGTTAGCGTTGGTGTTGAAGTGGTGTTCTGGGGTTTTTTAGCGTTTCTTGGCAGAGTTTATACCAGCCCTTAATTTTTTTCCTTGCCACTCTCAGTTGTTCCTCGTTACCAGATTTAAAGGTTGCATCACGGGCTTTGAGCAGGAAGAGGATCTCAGTGTTCATCCAGGGTTTTTGATTTTGGAGTTTGCATATCTTTTTATCGCTCGCAACATCATCATCACATTTGCTGATGTAGCTGGTGACTCATGAGGCATACTGTATATGTCAATTGATGAAGCTCATGTTGAGAAAACATTTATGTCCACTGGGAAATACTGTTGACTCTGGAGGCATTGACAAGATGACATTTCTCCTCGACATCCTTTATTTAACCTGTGAACTGGCAAATGAATCTTTTAGCCGCATCATGTAAATTGAAACTGGCTAATACTAAGTTATTGCAAACCACATTCATTATGCTGCAGTACTGTACTGCAGCATAATGGGCATTGAGGAGGCATTGACAAGATAGGGGAAGCCATGAGTTCCAATATATACTGGGGCGTCTTGGCCAGACACTTGGTTCTTTATCACAAAAAGCTCACACTTGGCACAAAATGGACAAGCCAGCATGGGAATGATCCAAAGCATATAGTACATCCAAATTAATGGTATCATTATGAAATGGTTAACTGCACAAAAATAAATATTCTAAACTGGTCACCTCAAAGTCCAGATCTTAATCCAATTGAACATTTGTGACACTAACCCAATATAACAGTTCACTGATGGAAAACAAATAAACTTTAGGACTAAAAGGCAATTTGACATGGGTGAATGTTCATAACATTCCTCTTAGAAGTGCCAGAATCTCATCACACCACACATGTCTAGTCCCTGTAATCTCTGCCAAAGGACTACAAAATGCTTACTAAAGGGGTGTGAATAAATGTGTTTTCTGGACATAAATTATTTATGACAAATATGACTTTGTGCGCTGCTATTAAAATTACAGAATTATCCATTCTGTAAATATTTTTCTCCTTTGATGTTTGCGTTAATATTTCAACAGGATTATTAATATATCTGTGGGTCACTGTATAAGAGAAAAATAGTCCAATCATATCTGGACATAATTAAAATTTAGAATCGAATGAAATGTTTGAGGAATAAGAAAAAAGGGAAAACATTATCTTAAGCCCTGTGACATTTTCATAATGAATAAAGAATTTGGGGGAATAAAAGTGGAGTTATATACAGTACCAGTATCTGAGTATACATGTGAGATAAAGAGACAAATAAGTAGCCTTATCATTATAATTTAATGTGGACATGTCCTTATAATCAAAGCTCTGACACCAGTGTACACTGGAATTTTTATCCAGGTGTTTCTCTGATAAGAATTTGAAACAGTTAAAGGAATCACAGTTTTTCATTTATATCTTAAATTAAAGATGTATATGCCTCTGTAACTTGACAATTCACTACCAGCTGTCTCTCACAATTTTATTACTGTCTCTGCTCTTGAGATGCTCTCTGTTTGAGTCCCATCACAACAGATTAAGCACTGAACTGAAAATGAACAATTGTATCACGTAATGCCAGACATGTTTAGTGCCTGTCAAAGACTGCTGTTTTATTGGAAATTTTAAGAATCATCCATCCATTATCAGAGCACAGCTTATTCTTGTTAAAGGCTGAGAAAATCTAGAGCAACTCTTTTACTTTCCTGGAAGTATGCAAGTGCAAGTATAGAGTGGGTGTTAGCCAACAGCAGAATTTTAAATACAACAACTATTACCAATACCACCTTTAACAAGTGCATTATACTACCAGTGTTCAGACAATAAATGATAAATAGCAATTTGTGTGGGAGCTGTATTTATAATTTTTCAAGATCATTTATCTTGGTATAGTATATCTGAAAGTATACGTTTGTCCTACTAAGCAAAGTCTTTCACTCATCTAAGAAGTTTAAATAGCGCTTTTTCTACAGGGAGGAAGTGTACCCTTCTGCTTTAACATAATCAGGGTACTTCCCCCAAAAAATCTTAGTTTCTTTTCTTAGAACTTTTTAACACAATATCTTCCAAATGTATAATGATACCTATACGAACACCTAAGAGTTTTGGAGGTATGGAACAATCTACACAGCCATGTTGTTGAAGCTTATACCCTGGCTTCCTTCAGAAAATAGATGTATGAGATCCTTGGATCAATTACAGTAGATAGCAAGAATTGGGCTAGATGCCCTCCCCCACCTTTTTTAACCTTACGTACACTGTGCTTCCAACACAGACATTGAACTATAGATAGATTTTTTGCAGTTCTCAATTATTAAGATTTAACATATTATGAGTGCTTTGAGGAGGTCCTGCAATCCAATTTTCTATTAAGTGACAGTCATCATCCATCCTTCTTTAAACCAATACAGGGTTGTGGTGGTCTACCCTAGCAAACAAGGCAATGGAATGCCAGTCCACCATAATCCACACACAGAAACAAAATGCACAGACTCACACCAGGACCATTTTTATCAAACAGCAATTAACCTACCCGTTTGTCTTTGGACTGAAGGAGGAAAGCAGAGCGTTCGATGAAAACTCATATGGAAACAGGAAGAACATACAGACTGCACACAAATAGTACTGAAGGTCCAGAATTGAACCCTGGGGCCCTAGGGCTGGGAGCCAGCCATGCTAACCACTGTCCAAATTTGATTAAAAAAGTATAAAAAAAGAGTTGCAAAAGTGGTATGCATATTTTGTCTCCCACAAAACAATGCTAGATTTTGTAATCCCTGTAAATTAAGAACATGGCTGATGCACAATGAGAAAAAAAGTTTAATGTATTCTGCTATTTTCTGTATTTCGAAAAATATGTAAAATATATAGTATGGTGGAGTGGACAGCAAATCTAGTTGAAATCCACCATGAATGTGTTATAAGATGATACAAGGAATTCAGAATCAGGTTTCCTTAAATACAGTTCAATAAAATACTGTACAAAAAGCTGTTTGCCTGAAGAGAGTTCACATTACATAGCTGGCAGTCCTGCTAGATGGCTAGACCTTAAGTTTGCCATTTTGGAAATATCCCAGAAATATCTATTAATCTGCTGGGTGAGAGGGGTTTGAAGGACATGCGCCATATGAAAGTCATAGGGATACTGCTGTGCTCTGTCCTTTGTCTAATCCAATTAGAGATAAATTATTACCAGGGAAAAACAAACTTACAAAATGTAATACTATTAATACCAATACCACGTTTTGTGCTTGTCCTTTAAAAATAATTGTCTATATTTCTGTAGTTGTGTTTAGTTAGAACTTATTCGCTACAAAGGTCTTTTCATACAGAACACCTACAAAACATGTTTACAACAAAATATCATTTTAAAACTAAATAATGATTCCAAAGAACACCCACACATTATCAGAAAACAAATACAGGCAATGTATCCAGCATTCACCACCTATGTTACCCTTTCCTGAAATATCACAACAGAATTAGTATAAAGTGTACATGGTTCGTACCAAGAGAGCTTTTGTAGAGCCATACTTTAGTTGTAGCCATATCCCAAATGATTTAATTGTATTGTTTAAAACTCAGTTTAGAAATAGAAGTAGACATTTATTTCATGAAAGCAAATAATTAAAGTGTCCAGGCTTGCAATGGACAAATCAATAAATATTGAAGACCAACTTCAATTGGTAAAAAAAAATTAAAAAGGTTTCTAAATGCTAATATTTTGCTTTTATATGTAACAAAGGTAATTTGCTTGAACAATATGTTTTGAAAACAAAATGACTACTAAGTTCAATTTTAATCTGTTGAAAAGATATGCTTCTAGCAAGCGAAAAGGATGAATAAAACACTCACCTCTGTCCGTGTCATAGAGGTAGACAAACTTCTCCCATTTGTAGTGGGAGAGAAGACTCAAGACTGCACCCCTCAAAGCTGGGCGCATCTGAATGACAAACTGAACATCTGCATCAGTTGGGTAACTTGGAGTTACAAAGGAGGTATGGAGAGCTCCACAGAAGGAAGTCAGCGTGTTCATGGACTTCTTGTCGTAGAAACCAAAGATGGCATAAACTCCTCTGGAGAACTGTGAGCAGACTGGAAAAAAACAGAAATGATACCATTTAGCCTATACTCATAACAGCAGTGTAAGGATGAAACCACTATATCAATTTAGCCCCTTACTCCTCTAGTTTCTAGTTTAACCTAACCCCCCCCCCCCCCAGACACCTCTTTAAAAAATCCAACAAACGGAAAATACAATTTCAATCACGGGAAAGCACATCAAATGTTTCTAACTTTAATAGGCGTGTAAATTCTATTATACAACATTTCCATTCCTGAAAACAAAAACATATCTAGCTCAGGCTTGTGATCAAGATTCCTTATGAGATTGTAGTTAAAAACGTAAACGACATTTCCAATATTACTATCCAGGAACCGTCACGAATAGCCAAAATCTAACATAACCAAATCCACCCCTATACAATCACATAATGTACTACAGTATATACTGTAGTATGTATGGTTAAAAGGCATAAGTAACCATTCCTTATATGATAATTAAAGTACTAATGCATTGGCTTTATATTACAATAACACTGATCAGTTAAAACAAACTGTTATAGTTATAGTTATCAGCTAACTGGGAGCTCCCAGCACACAACCAGAAGTGTCCAATGAAACTTGAAACACATTAAGATACAGATATTGGGTAGAGGGTACTTGGGCAGGTGGCAGGGAGAGGCTGACTCGCTAAGCTAGATTTGTCTCACAATCCTAGACTGTCACTGTGGATAGTTTGAAAGCTGAACTTAACAACCTTTGGCTTGGTCGACACTTTACTGTATTTGGCGTGTCACCTACAGTATGTGTAGATTCTTATTTCCATTAACACACAGCGTTACATATATAGTACATATATGGGAGATCATACAGTCCGAGTCATCAACCTACAGTACATACCTGACGACAGGTAGAAATGTTTAAAAAACAGAGTAGACCTAATACTATCTGATCATGGTATTTCAATTACTAATTAAAATGTGTTTATTTTTAAGTTGCCTTGTTAACATGTTATCAGCTGTGTGTTGGAAATGAATTGTACTGATGTTAAGGGTTATGCACATGACTCAGTTAAGCGCTCTGGTACCTCCACTGCCCCTCGAACCATTTTCCATTCCATGAATCAATCCATTTTCTCCTGTTCAAATTGATTTCCATCTCCTTGCGATTTACAAATCAAGTGCTGCTTCTTTCACAAGTGCAGTAAGCTGTGGGCAAAGGTCTCTTTAGTAAAAGTGCTACCGTACATGCTCAGTTTGCCTAAAGCTGGAAAATTAATGCATGGAGCCCTTGCAGAGCTAGTTGACGAAGATAAGAGGTATATTTGAGTGTTGGTGAACAGTGTGGTCTTCCTCTTTTTGAAATTCAAACAATTGTATTGCAGCTGAACTGAGTTTGATATCTTAACCGTCTACCTTAGTACAAATTAAGCTTTACCTTGCAGCTAAGTACTGGAGTTGCGAAACCTCATCACCTCATCTTGCCATCCTTTTAAAAGTGTGATGCAGTCTAAATTATGTTGAGAAATACAAACAGTATGTTTCTGAAGTGTGTGAAGGCATGCCTTTTTTTCATTGCAATCATCAATGTACTACAACAGCACAATATACAGTACATTATAATTTATCTCTTTTCCAGAAATTAACAGTACATCATTAAGATGTTTTCAGTTCATTGTCAAACACAAAATATACCTGGACATGCAAAGGAAATAATGCACAGGGATTAGAAGTATGTGCATTTCTACTGTATTCCTTTCACATGTCTTTCATATACCCTTGAAATGCACACATTTGTTTGTCTAATCCTGAATTAGTCATTCTTCAATTAGATACTCCTAATGAGAAATTGGCACTTTCATTTTGATGATCTCATTTCACATCCCCTTACCCACCCATTCACGATACAGAACAATTGTTGAAACAAATCACTAAGACCTAGTGAACATACTTTTTTTCTGTTAGTAACCCACCCCGAGGGCTGCCCTAAGGTCTGTCCTACCATGTGTGAACAGTACTCTAGGGAAGCCTCCTGGGAAAACTTCACCCTAGCTCACTAGCATTCCTAGAAAAATGTACATATATATTTCAGCCTGGCTTGCTCTAGGTTCTTCAGAAACTACAAATCTGTAGCTTCCTTCATTACATACATTCAAGCTTAAAGTTTCTTTTAACTATAGGACTATTTCACTAATAAATATTTTAATCAAAGAAACAACACAAAGTCCTCTAGAATGTCAAAGTAAACAAAATCCAGACGTTTTACTAAATTAATTAAAGATAAGTATTCAACCCCTTGCTTTGACACACCTAAATTAACTCTGAAGTAACCAACACTCTTCTCCAAATCACATTATTACTTGACTGGAGACCACCTGTGTGCAGTTGAGGTGTTTCACATGACTCAACAATTTGGAGGAAGATTCTATGGTCTGATAAGACCAAAACTGAACTTTTGGGCCTCAATGCTAAGCGCTATGTTTAGTGCAAACATAACACAGCACATCACACTGAGAACACCATCCCTACAGTGAAGCATGGTAGTGGTAGCATTATGCTTTGGGGATGCTTCTCTGCGGCAGGGACTAGAAAACCCATTCAGATAGAAGAAAAATTGATGGAGCAAAGTATAGAAAAATTCTGGTAGTAAAACATGCTGCAAAGCGCAAGAGCACTGGGACTTGGAAGACGATTCAACTTCCAACAGGATAATGACCTGCAACATACAGCAAAAGCCACACTGGAGTGGATTAAAACCAAAAAGGTTAATGTCCTGGATTGGCCCAGTCAAAGCCCGGACCTCAATCCAACTGAGCATCTGAGGAATGACTAAAAATTGCTGGAGCATGAGCAATTTTGCCAAGAATAATGGGCAAAAATTCCAGTGTCAAGATGTGCAACTTATGCATTCAATTATTTTCTCTCTTTTTAAATTAATTTAGTAAAATGTCTGGATTTTTTTTTCCCACTTAGACATTATTGAGTACTTTGTGTTGATGAGTGGCAGAAATTCTCAGTTAAATACATCCATCAATGCGGTAACACAATAAAATGTGAAAAGTTCCAGGGGGATGTAGGCACTGTAGATAATTGGCATTTAGAGGGAGTGAGATTCCACCTTAAGAAAAGAGCAAATAGGAGACGCCCTGCGTAGTTGGAGTAGCCATGAGGAAAAGGGCAACTAGTCTGCATCTAGATTCTAGAGGTGAAGAATGGAGTGTGAGAGTTCAGAAGCATAGATACCGTTGGTGGGGAGCTGGTGTACCATGATACGAACAGACACGTGTATGGGCTTTGTGGTAGACAGAATATGATAGGTGTGAGTAATTATGAAACCAGCTGCTCCTGTGCAGGGGTGTATGTGGTTTTTAATGAAGACAGAAAACTGATTCATGTTTCAGGTTTTCTTTTGTAGTTAGGTCAGCTTTCTTTCACTTTCTTAGCCAGCTCCATTTTGTTTGTTGTTTTCTTTTCTTTGGCACCACTCTAGTTCCCTACCCCTGTGTGTTATTGTGTCTTATTACGTACCAGTCACTTATTCACCTTAAAATAATCACTTTTGCACCAGCCCGTGTTATCACACTTCCTAAGTCCCTCACCAGAACTCACCTGCATCCAAAAACTATCCTAAATGTTACACCCCTTTACCCCTAGACAGTTGGGGTCATAACAGTCTGTAAAGGAAGGCATGTTAAAGCCACATGAAACTGCAGGAAACCAAAGTTAAAATCCCAATAAAAGTGCACAAATACCTTGTAAATGCAACATTGCAAACTCACAATAAATCACTTAGATTTATATAAAAATAAAACTTTTTATTTGTTACCAGGTCTAAAAATATGGCTTAACAGTTTGTGTAATCCAAAAGTTTTATACAGAATTTGAATAATGAATATGAACACAGTAGTAATTTGACCAAAAAGTGTTCAAATTCAAGGTCACTATGTATAGACACTCAGAAAAACATCTCTGGCTTAATGATCTATACCTCTATGAAAACCCAGTGGTTCTGCAATTCTCTTGAAAGCACACTGTCCTGCATCTTGTTTGTTCCATTAATCAAGGTATAAACAACAAACAGAATGGGAAATTTAATTTGGAATTCATTGCAAGAAGCTACTGGATTGCAGCTTGAGCACAAATGATGAAAAATGCTCTAAATGTGTATCCTACCCTTTTGTCTTCCCTCCTTGGGTGTGTAATCATGGGATTTCAGTGTCTTTGGTTAACATGCTCTCCTTCCTTTAGAGTTAACGGAAATCTGGCCTGGAGAAGTGCACTGTTTACAGTGAATGCCAGCAATTTTACCTCCACAGCCACATACAGTCTTGTAAAAGTTTCATACCCTTCTTATGGAGCCCTATTATGTGAAATTACAAAATGAGGCCTACATATTATTTTAAACGTAATGTTGCATTCAAAACCTGAATACTCAATCTGAAGACTTCTATGTATAATTATTGTATAATTTACAATAAATGCCAGCAAAAACTGAAGAGAAAAAAAAAACAGAAAAATGCAAAATGCATAAGTGTTCAAATTTGTAGATTTTGTAAAATGGCTTGGTTTTGCTCGTTGTTCTTGGCCGAATTGATCAAACTCCCCCAGGTTGCTAGGTGATTGCTAATAGCAGTTCCTAAAGTCTTTTAACAGAAACTCAATAGCATGTAAGTCAGAACTTTGACTGGGCCACTGAAAAAGATTCATTTTCTTATTCTTAAGACACTCCAGCTTACTTTTGGACTTGTGCGTTGGAGTATTGCACTACTCAATTTGGAAGAACTGCTAAATCTAGGCAGTATATGATCTGACCAACCTCACTATACCCAAAAAGATATGAAAAAGAGGTATTTTATATGTTTTACACCCTTCTCCAGATCTGTGTTTTTATACAACTTCATTCTTGAGTTTTTTCAAAAGATCCTTGATCTTCATGGTGGAATTTTTCCTTGAGATTCACTATCTGACTAAGGGGCTTAGCAAAGATTGGCATATGTATCCTTAAATTATGTGATTCACTATCACTGCACACAG